TTCTCTAGTTTGCCCAGTAGTGTCTTCACCACACTTGCTCTATGCCTTTAAATTAGGCAGAGTTTGATCTTTAACAGAGAGAAAAAACAAAACAAAACACAACCATAAAACAGTTTAGTGAAGACTTCATAATGAATCCAAACAGGAATGAAAATGGGGGGTGGAGTGGGAATATCAGTATACCACCAAATGTTATTTACACTTCAGTTTCCTAATTCATTGTTTCCACTGGTATTAATCCAGACTCTCAGAACATTTTCATTAACCTTCCTCACAGAGGGATCAATTCCAGTATTCTTTACAGATGGTTATTCAGGCTCAACTTGAGCTCTAATTATATAGCTACATGCTTCAAAAGTCACCTATTTATATCCTTGGAAAGCTATAGTCTTAGAAGACAGGCTGATCCTACCTTTGAAGTTCCCATCTAGTATGGAATAGTTCTTTAGAATCACAGACTTTGAGCCTTTGTTTAAGCTCTGTGATGCTAAGCAAGTTAACTAGCCTCTCTGGCCCTCAATGCTCACCATTAACCTCACTCAATATTGGTATTACCTAACATGTAATTTGCCTAACATAGCACCTACCTGATGCTATCAGGCACTCATATGGTAGCCATACTCCTATTGCTACTGGTTTTTTCTGAAATATCCTAGTCTTTCTTTACTTCCTAAGATAGATTATTTAAATATTAGACATGACCTATTATGTTCCCCTTGCTAAAACTTTTTTTTATTATATTTTTTATTGATGTCAGAGAGAGGGAGAGGGAGAAACATCAATGATGAGAATCATTGATCAGCTGCCTCCTGTACACCCCCTATCGGGGATGCAGCTGGCAACCCAGGCTTATGCCCTGAACTGGAATCAAACCCTGACCTGGTTCATGGGTTGACGGGAAACACACCAGCTGGGCCCCTTCCTAAAACTTTTGATCTCAATTATTTAAATGATTTTCTTTTGTGACAGCATTTAAATCAGCATTGTCCAACAGAACTTTCTGTGATGTTTTATATCTGACTGACAATGTTAGCTACGAGCCATTGAGCATCTGAAATATGACTAATGCAAATGAATAACTTGTAAATTTTAAGGTTTTAGCTACATGTGGCTAAAGGTTACAGTATTGGACAGCACCTATCTAGACCAATACTTTTCTGATGAAACAAGCCAATTGTACCAAACAAAATATTAAGTGATATCACAGATCATATTCACAAGTATCTTAACTATTCCTTCCAAATACTGTATTAGTGACAACGGTTGTGATGTTATCCTACTTAAAATTATATATAAAAAAAGAACATAGCCTATCATCTAGAAGGAGCACCTTCATGAAATAGGCTTTCAGTATCTCTAAAGAAAGCAATGCAGCTGAAGATTATTTAAGTGAAATTTTAAAATTACATTTTCAATTTTTCAGAAAGCAGATGATTTACCTTTAACAGGTATTTAAAAGGAAAAAAAAGTTACCTATTCTACAAGCTAAAGTATCAAGATAAAGTTCTGACCCCAAATTATGTATTTCATCTGCATTCTGTCACTTTTATTTAAAGCAGAGTTCTACCTGTCACAGTGAAAACAAGGATTAAAAGTTATTGCTAACTTCAAAAACAAGAAAGCCAAAATACTAAATTAGACTTCTTAAAAAGCAGAGAAGGGTATAATCAATTTGGATAACTTAAAACCCACTGATGCAACTAAATTAGTGCAAACTGTTTCCTCACATATCCTTAAACATTCCCACAGTATTTATTCCCAAGCATACCATCTATAATAATAAAAGCGTAATATGCTAATTAGACCGGATGTTCTTCCGGATGAAGGCGGGGCTGCCAGGGAAGCTTGGGTTCCAGGTGCCAGAGGGAAGGAAGGCCTACTCTTGCACAAATTTCATGCATCGGGCCTCTAGTCTATAAATAAATAGAATTCACAACGGCTTCAGGATCTCTTTCTAATATGTCCTTTATGTCATGTATTTCTTAAATCATCTTTTCAATTAATAAAATGGGCAACATAAGCCAAAGAGCATTGTTATTTCAAATCTTGCTATAAATCTACCTTACTAAAATTTTTGGTCAGGGGGAATATGACATATGAATCTGCATTATAATTTAAGGAAAGTCATTTGTAGCCAAGACCTAAAGAACACTGCCTCAGTCAGGAAAATCGTTTTTAATAGTTCAGTGACAGCGAACTATTTAAATCTGTCTTTTACAATTTACAGTTATTTGGCTCTAAAAAGAAAGGATTCATATATTATACTTAATATAAATTTGTAATATAAATTTAGTGTACTATAAGTACACTGAAATCCAGAGGGGGAAGTCTAAGAAACTGACCTCAATGGGTATATAATAGGAAAGATACAGAATTTGGAGGCACATTCTAAAGGAAGTTGGCTCACCAATAAAATTCGCCTGAATATTAGCAGAAGTACACAAATGCTCAAAACACCATTTGTGACTGCACCTATGTATACCAACACTTTTAGATTGTAAAATTAGAATAACTAAAAACTGAGCAAAACATTCTCATCAAAACAAGTAATTTTGGCTCAATAAAATTTTAAAAATTATTAAAGCCTGTTGTGTACTGGCTTCTTTTAAAAAACTCGGGGAAACAGCTGAGTAAGAAATCCTGAATGCACAAATTGGGGGAAAGTAAAAAAATAGGAATAAAAACACTACTGTCAGTAACCAAAGCAAAGAGAAAGGAATTAGTGAGCAACTTTCTATATCTTAAAAAAAAATTGTTTTTCTCTAATTTTACATTGTTCCTAATGATAAAGCTACTTTCTGAATCAAATTTAAAATACCTCCAGATTAATTCTTCTTCACTTTAAAATAAATGACCATTTGTAGTCTAGATCAGAGCTCAGTCTGATAAGACCACAGGGAGTAACTGGTGAAGAGAGTATTGAGGTATTAAAGTTCAAATGTGTGAAATATATTGTGCTTGCCAAACAAAACATTCTACAAGTTTCTAATGAAAAATCTCCCCCTTTTTGATTCCTGGCTTAAGTGGTTAACTATCCAGGTTGTGAAGAAAAAACACACAGTAAAGTATAAAAATAAACATTTGGGAGGGTCTCAAAACTTTGTATTGATAATGTGTCTGGGAAAAAACTAAAAACTTAAAAATATATTACTACCTCATTATCAGATTGTTTAGCTTAAAAACCTAAGTTAGTAAGACCTTAAACTAAACCTTCAAAATGCTAAACTTGGTAATCACATCTTTTAAAAAATAATTACTCATTAAAAGTGAATTATTCACTGTGTTCCATCAAAGCAGAATAGTTGATGCCTAATCATTGGTTGTAGAATTACAATCGGCTGTACTGTTGGTACTGTAAAAACACCTATTAGTCACTGTAGACGCTACTGGGAATAGTCTGCTGCCAGGCGTAACAGACACTGAATACACTTAGAATACAAGAAACTGAGTGGATTTAATAGGTTTTGTATAATACTATATAATAAACTGTATAGTAGTTATAGTAAATTATTCTGGAAAGAAATAAGAGCTAATGTCCTACCATTTCCCACGTCTATCATCTGCATACTTCCCAAATGTAAGATAAGATAGTATAGCTAGGTCTAGACCAGGTAAAAGAATGTATTAACACAATCCAACAAAAATGAAATAAAACAATCCAGAGTTTTGAGTGTTTTTTTCACACTGTAATAAACTGGAGAAATGTTTCGATTAAATAAAACCCCATATTCCATGAAAAAAGCCACTCCCATCATCCAGAATACTAAAGCCCTTACATAACACTAGAGAAATTTTAATTAAATGAAACAGTAGAAACTAGTATACCATTCATTAGAAAACTCGAAATATTCAAAAAATTTTGTGTCAAGTACTCAGAGAAAGCGCAAGAAGCCAAAACCTCAGAATCCACACATCCTAATATTACCCTGAATTGCAATTAACTACCCACACATTTTATCATAAGTCAACTTTTTCAAAGATATACAGACAATGCTTCTATTTAAAAAAATTACTCTTTATAGTTAAGGACTTGACATTAACTTTCATATTCTACTTGGCAAGATCTGTCTGTACTTCAGATTATCTTTCATGTTCCAGGAAATACAAACTCATGATATGCCTGTGATCTCTGATGGCTTGTTTATCATAATTCCATAGAATATGCTCTTGATTATGTAAAGAATCTAATACTCCTTGATGAAATACTATAATCTCTTCTCCAATAGTTACAATTTTTAAAAAGGTATTCGAAGAACTGAGTATCATTCCTTTGAAAGACCAAAAAAAAGTATAATTTTGTTCCAAAATTAACTTAGTCTCATGTATTTCTATTAAGTCTTTCAAGGATTCCAGAGAATCTTTTCAAATCTCCATTTCTGGAAAGTGAAACCACTATAGCAGTAATTTGGGAACTTGAAAATGGCATTCATTTTTTTCAGCAGATGCCAAATTTTTGACAGACATGGCTCCCACAACTACTTTGTTACCATCAGTCCAGTCAGTTAACAGGTTGTAGGAAAAGATTCGCTTTTGCAGACACTGCTAAGCTGTTCAAAGAGAAGAGAGAGAGATTAATTTAGTGATTATAAAATGTACAAATATTTAAAATATTTTGAACACTTTTTGTCGGCTTATATCAGAGGTGTGACTACATTTTAACAAACACGGACATTTTAGTTAAGTCAGGTCAAGGAAGTACAGAAACAGTAGTCAATATGATAGAAATAGTAGGTCAGTATGATGTTAGTTCAGTTAATGTATGAATTCCTGTCACCATCAGAAGACAAATATTAAAAAGCGACGTCTGTAGTCTAGTTCTGTATCATTTTGCCATAGAGGCAAAATTCAGAGGGAAAAAAAAGATTGCCCAAATGCTATTTTCATCCATTACAGTAAATAAAACCAAACCGGAAAATTTCAAAACAATCCATATATTCCAGAAATCTTTATACAACTATTATTCACCAGAACACAATTTTCTAAAAATAGTAAGACAACAGTTTCATATTAATCATAACTTTTTTAATTAACAAGTAGTGAATAGGACACTTTTAAGATATTGTTTACTACATACTGAAATAAACAGATCTGTTGTAAATTCAGAAACTCAAGACATTTACAGTAAAATGTGTTTATACATAAATATGACCAAATTTATTTAAAGCCCCTATTAGACAGGTCCTAAGTACATGCAATACCATGTAAAACAAGACTATGAAGTTGATGCAAAAAATGACAAAAATCACTGAGTCACCAAAATTAGAGGGAAAAAAAAATGAAATGGAAACTAAGAAAAGACAGTTAAAACATAAGTAACCTAACAAAGCAGCTTTAAAAATAGGTGATACTAATCTCCACTTTCAAAAGTTCTTAATCAAGTATTTTCAAAAACTGCCATTTATAAAATGACATTCTAAAAATCTATACTTGGAATTTCAAAACATCCCAATTCAGAAAGCTTTTGACTACTGTTTTCCCCAGCCCCAACTTCAAATAATGCAGGAAAAGCACTGATGTTAGGAAGAAAATATTCCAAGGAATGGTATAATTTTTAGAAAAACGCACTTACTGCTTCCAGAACCTTTAAGACCCACAGTCAGCATTAACAATCATTTTTCCTATTCTCATCCATTATTTTTCAATGTCATATTAGAGATGAAAAAATTCTTTGAGCCCATAACTGAAAGATCAACAAACCTGGTTTTATTATGACACCATATTTTTGTCATTGGTACTGCACAAAATTATATACAAAGAAATATATACAAAATGTTCAAGTATTAATTAAATTTCAATTCAAGACTTCTGTTTCAAAAATCTACATTTAACATATTTCATAATGATAGCACAAATTAGTCATTTTAAATAATTTTCCAACTACTTTTGGTTTATATATATATGTTTATGTATAATTCAGTAGGCACTAAAAATCCATGCAGCTGCATCGTGAGGGGCTTGCTCCTGCACTTAGATATAAGCAGATTCATAACTCCAGGCTGTGAGTTTGGCTACTACCCATTCATGCTCAAGTGCAGAAGATGGTTTTACAAAATTGCTGTGATGCACTGGAAACCAGAGACCGTTAAGTCTCAACTAGTATTATCTAGAAACAAAACATTTACAGTTGTGCAAGAACAAGGATTCCATTTTCATAACCAAATAACAACAAAATAAAACATTTTGTGTGTAAGATAACTTACATCTTTGGACTGCTGGAATAACTTTTAATTATGAACATTTTAAAAGAAAAGACAGCAGAAGCCCTGATATTACCTCTTTTCCTTATTTCTTATACTACCTTTTAAAATAAAGCAGGAAATGTGGCCAGCAGCTGGTCCCGTCTCTTCTGCCCCAACAGCTGTATCCACTTTAGCACAAAGAAAAACAAGGATGCTAAATAGGTATATACTTTATCAAACAGTGATGTTTCACAAAGAATTTCTTTTCTTTCTTTCTTTTTTTTTTAACAAAGAATTTCTTAATGCCTGTTACACTGAAGGCCACCATAACTCAATTTATACAATTGGACAATAGACAATAGAGAACTTCAAGGGAAGAATATATCCCATCTTTGGAAAAAGTGTCAATCGTGTCATTAAGTAGTCAGCACCACTCAATTTTTAAAATACCTTTGAAATATGGAAAATAAGATTCTTTGTGAAGCCTCACTTTACATGTTTTCATTCACATTTCATAACCTTCAAAATCGAATCATACATAAATTTAACCTAAAATTTTAATACAACAAAAATAAAGGTGTTCAACAATTTATTCATACTCAGTGATAGGGTCATCACTGTGCTGGTCCTCAAAGAAGCATTTCATTAACCATTCTTAGTCCTCCTTCAATTAGCTAACACAGGAGTCTGATACGCATGTTAATTTCCAACTTCTCTAACAGTGAGATATTAAAATCTGTTCATCTGAATATTGTAGTTCTAGATCTCCTACTTAAAACTAAAAGGCATTACTGAATATTTAAGAGTTATTTTGTTGTCACCTCCAGCAAAATAACTATCACCTTTGTGCATGCCCCAAACACTTATTGGTCAACCTCTGCAAAGTTGCTCTAATACTGGAATTCCAATTTGCACCTTGTACAACTCGGAACTTCCATTCCACTTCACCTGTTTCACTGTCTCCAAACTGTATCTCTATTAGCAGCTTTCAGTGTACAGTTGGAATCGATGTCATCCAAGGCCATGTCCACACTGGGGACAGAAGAGCTAGGTACACGCAAGTCTGAACAAGGGGACACAGTAACAGCTATTTCAACCATGAAGAAGCATCTTAAATACATTACTGACCAGCACAAGTCTGTTTCCAGGGTGGACAGGGCCCAAATTACATTCCCCTCCCGCCTTCCAAAAAAGAAAAAAGAAAAAAGAAAAAAAAAACCACACGCACACACAGTATTGAGATGTTGCCCATTAAAGTAGACTAAGCAGCAGAGCATGAGCGGTACGTGAAGAGATGGAACCTTACCAGGTGGTGAGGCGGGAACCACTGTTCTGTAACCCCTACAACGGAGCCTGGCAGGAAGGAAATCACCTAAAAAAGAAACTGTCAGAGAGATTTAATAGTCACATGTTATCATTGGGAGTTGGTTACAGTGTCACATTCATGCTTTTAGCTAAACACTTAAAAGACTCAATATTACTTTTTTTTTTTTTCTCTCCACCTGAAATGTGTCCAGTGACGATGTCCCACTAAGGAGTTTGACATGGTGTTAAGGGAGCTGAGAGGGGGAAACGCGGGTAAAGAGCAGATTACTTGACCCTACATTTTCAGAGAAGACGACGCCTTCCGGGCGCACGCCGAGCAGAACTCCACCGACACCTTATCCTTGTCCACATGGAGGCACACTCCTCCCGCCGCGTCGTCCTCTTCCAGCAGGTCCTGCGGCGGCTGCTTCCCCACCGGCAGCGCGTAGTCGTGGTCCCCGGCGGGCGCGTCCCTGAAGAGCGAGGTGGTCAGCCGCAGTCCCACGCCGCTCAGCCGGCTCAGCAGGCGAGCCAGGCCCGTCTCGTTGGCCAGGACGGCCCGCAGGTAGCGACTCTCCTCCTGCAGCGCCTGCACGCGCTGGCCCAGCTCCCGGTTCTCGGCCCGCAGCTCCTGGTTCTCGGCGGCCAAGCCCCGCACTCGACTCTCCAGCCCCATCACGTATTCCTTCTTCTTCAGCCGGTTCAGGCGCGCGGCCGCCGCTGCCGCCTTCCGGGGGCTCTTGGTCGCCGCCTGGTTGTTGTTGTCGCTGCCGCCGCCGCCTCCGCCGGCCTTCCTCCGCCTCTTTTCGCCGCCGCTACTGTCACTGCCGCTGCCGCTGCCGCCGCCGCCGCCGATGCCGTTTAACAGCCTCTGCAGCAGGTCCGAGAAGCGCTGCATCTCGGCGGCCGCAGACTCGTCGTCGTCGTCCCCTCTCCACAGGCCGCCGCTCTCCGAGCCTCCGCCGGAGGAGAGGGGCCCGGGCGAGCTGAGCCCGGGCTCCAGGTGCCAGTCCGGTTGCCGAGGGTCCAGCAGATCGGCCAGTTCCAGCCCGGACAGGAAGTCCATGTCCTCCGTCTCGTCCCCGGGGGCGCCGGCGATCGCCTCCTCCTCCATCTCCTCGGGCGAGGGCGCGCGCCCCGCCCCGCCGCCGCCGCCGCCGCGGCCCCCCCTCCCGTCCTCCAGCTCGGCCTCGTCGCCGCGCGGCTGCTCGCGGCAGGGAGATCTGGAGGCCGCCGGCTCTTCCTCCGCCGCCGTCGCCCCGCTGCCGCAAGGGCCCGGTCCGAGGGCGGCGAGCGTGGGGCGGCCTGCGCCGGACTCTCGCTGCGGGCTGGGGAGTCGTTGCCCCAAGTCG